TTTCTTTTTATTTAATAATATTAAGATATATTAAGATAATTTAATATTAAGATAATTTAAGTAAACAATTTTTTACCTATGTCTGTAGATTTTACTGTAAAGAAATGTTCAATCTGCCACGTTAGGTCCGAAAATTTCATTGTCCATTGAAATATCACATAGCTTTTCTCTGTATCTACAGATGAATGTACATATACTAATATACCTCCATTTTCCTGAGTATATTGCTCAGAGCTTGCATATTTCTGTATTTCTAAACTTTGTAGAATTTTAGATCTAAAGATATTCTTTGCATTGTAATCAGAAAGTGCTAAAAAGAAATACAGCTTTTACTGATGAATAATATTTATATGAACATTGTAATAATCTTATTGTGATTACTATATGTGATTACTTACTAGACATAAGAAGAGAAAAGTTTGTCATATTTGTAATTTTCTGAAACCAAGGGGATATTTCCAATATGCAATAATGATATTTATTTTTATTAAAATAAGACATTATCTTCTTGATTTTAAAATCATCATTTAAATGCTAAAAAAAAAAAGAAATTGAGATAAATAAAAAAAATAGTTGCTCATAGAATTATGTATTTTATAGGCTGCGTTCGGAAACCTGGATAGTCCCCGTGAATCACCTTATCTTTGTTTAACATTGGGTGAACAACAAAAATAAAACGATACACAAATAATGTTTCCGAATGCATCCCTTCTCGAATGTATACCTTCAAAATCACTGTTAATTCAATATTAAAGGAGATTGTTTTTGTTATTACTTCAGCTGTATATATATAAATATCATCACGTAACAATTTTCTATCGACATTTTCGAATGTTATTCCTGTGACTTTAGCTGTAATTTCACATAATTTAGCTTTGTACTTGGTAGATGAGGATTCTGACAGTTCATGTTCATCAGGAAACAGCGTGCTATAATCATTCATAAATCGTAGTTTATCCATAGATCAAAATAAAAAAATTTACGCATTTATATTTATAACGTAATTACGTGTTGAAATCGATTGATTTTTTATGTCCATTTTCTTCTTGATTCTTCAACCTGTTTTCCAAATAAGTAACCTTTTCCAGGAGTTGTTTTTTCAGAGCACGCAATTGTATTATTTCTTCGTCATCCATTTTAAATAAATGAAGATTAAGAAAGTTTGCTTCCTCAACTAGACAAAAATACATTTAGTCGATGCGTTTTTGCATTAAAATAAAAAATTTACGAGAAAAAAGTGTCACTATATCCTGCGAAATATTAAACGATTATTGAGGCTAGAAAATCTGTCACAGTCACGAAATACCGCGATGCAAGAATGCACTGCGGTTACAAATTCGCTATTTTAAAACAAATTCTCTGCTCTAAAACACAAATTCACGACTTTGAAATAAATTTACTGTTTTTAAAACATAAAAATATAAGAAAATAATTTGTGTTTTCAACGTAGCAAATTTATTTAAAGCAATGAATTTGTTTATAAAATAGTGAATTTGTTTGAAAAGTCATGAATTTGTGTTTTACAGCAGAGAATTTAGAGCTGTTCTTTTGAGCTAAAGTTTTTTTAACGATTCATCTTTCTTCCTTTTCGCTCCATATTGAAGAGAAAAAAAGAAAAGATAAATCATTTAAGAGATGATGAGAGCAAGAAATTTAGCTAAGGGTAAAATTATACGGAATAGGATTACGGAATACAGATCAGCGCAATTCCGCACTTTTTCATCACGCAAGTTTTGTGTTATGTTGCACATGATGCGTCAAAGATGTATCCAGCATGAATATAATTTAAAAACTTCATGTTAATAATTTGTTTATTAAAATGAAATATAATTTTTAAATTGTAAAAACAATTATCACTATTGTAGTATTTAATGTTTTACAATTAATATTTAAAATCTCATAACAATTTTTTGAACTGCTTTAACGCATTTACTATCATTTTTTCGCATCGTTTGAACATAGCACCCAAAACGTGATGGAAAAGTACGAAAAAAGGCACACTGAAATCGCACGTAATGCATCATTGTTTTTTGGATCTTGGTATATCTATATTTATGACTCATTTTGTCATTTTGCTTCATTCGTCTCGATATTAGACTGTTTTTTCATGCAAACGCTGAATGCTCACTTTCAGAGTCAAAACAGGTCACCTGATCAAAATTGATGCTTGCTATTCGTCAATTTGGATCATGTTACCTGTTTTGACGCTGAAAATGAGCGTCGAGCATGTTCTGCATGAAAATGCAACCTTACGCAATTCCATCATATCAGTCAGCGTCAAATTATTATTTTAACCTCTCCAAATACAACGGTTTATTACAAGAACAATGACGCACTCACTATTCCGCAACATCAAGTGCGGACATAAATGCAACAATAGCGCTGAGTGGTTGTTTCAATGATGCATTCTCTATTCCGCAGCCTTACTCCGCACAGTGTGATTTCATCCTAAGGGTGCGATTCACTTCACGCTGCAAATGCTTCGAAGCATTCTTTGATTAGTCAATTCATAAAATTCTTTCTTCTAATCAACGAAGTATTTGCAGTGTTAAGTGGATCACATCCTTAAGACCATGGCACACAAAAAACTTAAGGCAGTAAGACGTAAGCAATAAAGTTGGGTTCACTTGATGGAAAAACGGAAAGCGGAAAAACGGAAAAGCGGAAGCCAATCAGAAATTCTGTTTTTCTTGCAGAAAAACAGAAGCAAACAAGCAAAATGTACTGCCTACTACCACTGCGAGTTCCGATTGACTTCCGCTTTTCCGTCAAGATATGAACCCGGCCTAAGAAAATCAATGCGTAATCCAATGCGAAATACATGATCTTTATATAGATAGAAAGCACTTGTGGAAGCCTCAAAAATATTATTAAAAACTCATTTATTTTGTATAAAAACACTTTTCAAATAACACTTTCAAGATAACACAAAATATCCGAAATGATATGAGGCACATATCTGATCCGCTCGAGTGGTCTTACGGATTAGGTTAGGTAATTATAAACATTACTATCTCTAGATTGAGCATTCGAGAAGTGGGGACTCTCCATAGATAAGATAGAACATTCATATGAGAGAAGTTGAAGACAACATTGAAGGACAGCTCTACTCCAAACATAGTTATTTCTCTCTTTTAGTGAGCAGTGGGAAGCCAATCAACTTGATCGTAAGGCCACAACTCTCGAATGTCTAGCTTCGTTGCTCTCGGGCACTTCCCAGCTTGTCGCGGCGACCAATCAATTCATCACTAGAAAAAAAGAGAATTACTCCGTAATTATTTTTTTCTTTTTCTCATCAAGTCTTCAGCCTCTCTCATATGAATGCTCCGTCTATCTTATAAGTTTATAGGGCTCATTTAGAAAAAAACGCACTCACTTGGTGCTGTGCATTCTCTCTCGCATATATCTCGCTATAAGAGAAGGAATCGAAAGCGTGAAGAAGCTTGGCGGGCTAACCTGGCTAACAAAAATTCTGGGACGAAACACATCCATCCCGATTCGCGATCGTCGTGAGACTCTCAGAGTGCCATTTCATGAGCGGAAATTTACAGCGGAATAGAACAGCGCGACCAATCACAACTCTACAATCATTAGTGTCATTACTCTGCTTTCTTTTTTGCGATTGTGATTGGACTCGCTATTTTATTCCGTGGAAGAGCTAACATGGTGTGCTTCTTTGCAAGCATCTTTGTTTAAATCTCTGCCCGTCTCTGTCTATGAATGTCGCATCAGGGGAAAAGCCTGCCTATGAAACGCTAAACAAGGAGAATACATAAAGTTCTCTTTCTATAGAAAGAGAAACATAAAATATGTTAAACAAGGAAAGATTCAATACTAATTTCACGACGCGAAACAGGCCGGTATTCATAATCGATTCTTGTATTTAAGAAGTACAGTTGTCTTAAGTACAATCTTAAGATGTCATAAGTTGAGGACTATGAATATTAGCATTTTAAAACATTATTTAAGACAGTTTTAAAATAAAAACTATGAATATCGCCTGTTTAGCATTTCACAGTTGGTAGCCTTCCCCTGACGCGACATTGATAAACAGAGATTTAAAGAGAGATGCTTGCAAACTGTTATCCTTTCCACTATGGCACCTTTACAGATAACATATACGAGATTCTTCGATCTGATTCTTATAGAGTGACTGCAGAAGATAGAGAATGCGTCATAGAAGCAATCAGTTGTTCTGCGTTATTCCGAATAGCGCCAATTAGTTGTTTCAACACGCATTCTCTATTCCGCAGCTCTTTTCCGTGATTTCATCCTAAGCTGTTACATTTCAATTCCTCAGTCTCTCTTTCCTTCTTCTTTCTTTCTTAGAGGTACAATTTGCAGCAGGAACAGTATAAGTATATACAGTGTAGATACTGAACTTCGGCACCTTTGATGTATTGGGTCCCAAATCACATGATTCATGTTGCGGATTGGAAAGGCACTTATAAATTTGAGTTCTTATAAAGTTACAGAATAATTTTTCTAAAAAAAATACATAATTCGATCGTGTTATGAAAATTATTTATAGCGAGTATATTATTAAATCAGAATTATATAATAACATAATGTTAACGAACTCATTATATAAAGATATATTTACATTAATAATAATAATAATATTGAATAGTAATAAGTAAATTAAAAATAATAATTGATTAAATACTATATGAAAATTGTAATTGAATAATTATGTATGGAAAAATAAAATATTGCATGAAAATTGTAATTAAATGTGAAGTTGCAATAATTTAATAATATATACGTACACAAATGTATACTATATTATGAGAATACTTTATCCTATACAAATATAACAGTTTACACAATATAGCGTCTCCGAAAAAATTTGATTTAATTTTTTTAGTAAAATTTAATTTTATTAACCTTTTGCCCTACTTTTCTCTTATAAATTAAAAAAAAATTAAGCTTTGTACGAATGACGTACCACGGCTCTCACTCGTAATATTCATGTTTGACTCGATTTTCTTATACGAGTTTCATACAATATTTTAGGTAAAAGGATTAATTATATTTATGAGAAGGAGATCCAGCTAACTTAATATGCAATTTCAACTTATTGAAGGCAGTCATATTCCTGGTTGGAAATTGACGCATGACACTAAAAATTGGAGATCACATAAAATTTCAGTGTCCATACAAGAGGTTTGTTCGCGTCGCATACTCCAAATTAATTCAGAGAGCACTCTAGTGGGTCATAGATAAGTGGTTGGATTAATGCATTCATGCGCTCCAATGTTCAGTGACACGAACGATTTAGGACAAGTGAACATGTCACTTAAGAACTGACTAATCACAGTCGAGTATTCGATAATAAGAAAGGAAGATGATTGGTCAATTTTTATAAATTACGGCATACGGTATACGTTTATAACCAATAGAAACACTTCCTTATGATCTAACATTTTTTTATGTACCATGAATTTTAGCGAGAAGCACACTGTTGCATAAGTTCGAATCTACAGATGTTTTAAGCCTTAAGCCATAAGAAATTGATCAACTACAATTGAACGTGGAGAATAAGGCCGATATTCATAGTCAGATCTTATATTCAAGACCGTCTTAAATACGATTTAAGAAATCATGAACCAATCAGAAGGCTGCATTAGCGTCTTAAGACATTACTTTAGACGGTTTGAAATAAGATTCGACTATGAATACTGGCCTAAGTGATTGCGATTCGTTCATTCCTTTTGACTTAAGGCACTTAAAATCTATTGTAAATTTTGGATTGCATAACATATAAGGCATAAGAAAATGAACCAATCAAAGTTCTTTATTTCCTTCCTTTCTGTGAAATCAAGGATTCTAATTTTCTTATGCATCATATTTTACGCGTTATGCAAGAGTCTGCGCTCCCCGTTATAGAATACACAACTTATACAGACGCATAAACGTATGCATGTAGAAAATGATCCAATCACATTTTGTGCAACTTTAAAGAAAAATGAGATTGGATAATTTTCTTTATGCGGCTATGCAAGTTATGTGGACCAAGGGCCACCACATACAAAAGCATTGTTCGTTCTCTCGGAAATAGTATTGTCAGATGCAAGGGAATTTCCCGAAAGGGAGAATTACAAGAAAAAAAATGAAAAAGGGAAAAACGAATTTTTTGTAAAAATAAATTAAAATTTAGGAATTTTTCACAGTAAATTTTGTTTTATGTTCGGTTTTCGGTCGGTAATTTGGTGGTCGGTCGTGGGTCTGACCACGATGATCAAACAGTATGATATGTGGACAATAAGGCTGCGTTCGGAAACATTACCCGAATGCCTTCGCGTATCGTTTTATCCTGTTATTTACTCAATATTAAATAAGGATAAAACAATACACTGGTGCATCCAAGTGATGTTTCCGAATGTAGTCTAGCATCCTAGCGCTTCGAAACGGCTACGCACATGTTTAATCTTACTAGACTGATTTTTGAGATTTAAATTTGTACTACAAATATGTATTTGTTTAGGTTAAGATAAGTTATGTACGGAACAGCAATTTATGTTAATTATTAGTCTTACTAGTCTGATCTCTAATACGAATTTTATAATAGAAGTCAATAATAGTGTCTTTAGTAAAAAATTGACCAACCAGAGTTGATTATACTTCTCATATTTAACTGTGATTGGTCTTTTTTCTATGATTTAAGGCGACCGCTATGACTTTTATTGTAGATTCTATATTAGATTTATATTAAAATCATTATTTCTTTAAAACTTTTCTAATATTGCGCAATAAAAATATATTATTAATCAATTTATAGTACTTATTATTATATATTTTCCTTTATATTACTACGTTTATACAGCATTAGTAAAACCGTTTTATAAAACTGACCAATCACAGTCGTTCCATTCTTCCGAGCCCCAAGGAACAGCTATGATTGGCCAGTTTCATAAAATAGTTTTATCAATGCTGTGTAACAAAAATCTATTATTATATATACTGTTTCATATTTATTATAATTCCAAATTGTGATACATAAATAAAAAAATAATTTATGATTTTATTTTAATAAAATTTATAAAAAAACAAAAATTTTGTGAATTTAAGAGAAATAGATGAAATTAGCGGAAAATTTGGAAAAATAGCAATTTTGAGAAAAACAAAAATAGGGAAAACTAGGGAGATTATTATATGCTAACAGGGAAATTACTCACTGATATCTGACAATATTGCTCGGGAGCTACTCGAGATCACTCCAAA